AATGATTCTGCCCTCTGGCAGGGCATCGTTTCAACAAAAACCACTTCGTTAACCGCGACAACAGGGTGGTAACGAGAAGGTAACAACAGCTAATTGCGCGGAGAGAGACGACTACAGCGTGACGGGTTGTCGCACGGGTAGCTTTCTATTCAGGTGCAGGTTCAGTTTCTCGCAATCCACCTCGAACCACTCAGGTTTTAAATCCCCTTGAAAACAAGCTTCCCCGGCAAAATCCGGACTGTTAGGGCTCAGACATTCACAGTTAGTTAACGTCTTACGCCGGTGGCTTGTGGGCCCCAGTGGGTGCGCTTTAGGGTACCTTGTTCGTTTTCCTTGACACCACACCTACGTGGCGTCAGATCACCGGTTTTGTTAAGCTCTTCATACGAGAGAGTGTCACACAACACCAACACTGACAATGGGGAAGCAAGTATCAGACATAAAGGACACTCCACGGCTTTCTTAATCTCACAATGACGTCACCAAGGGACGGCTATCGCCTTGAGTATCACCGCCTGTAGGGATGATTTCAGCAGCACTTCATCCACTCCTCAGCCTATCACAAAAGGGGAAAACTTTTCTTCTCGCGTTTCCTCCCAAAGTCCCTCGCCTCTTAAACACTGGGGCTCATGATCTGTTACTTGCGACGTCTACCTGGTACTCATTTCTTAAAGGGATCACCCACAGCTGCGCTAATTTATTTTCTCCTACACGACCACGAACTTTCAACCTGGCTTCAATTTACAGTCTGCACTGTAATCTGCTGCACCTCTTTACCTTTGTTGTTCAACGACCTTCGGAATATATGATCAGCACATGTGTACTCTGCCAAAATCTGCTCGCGCCTGCTTACTGCTGTCAAAGATGAACTAGATAATCTGCAATTTCCTCACGCAGCTGGAGATATAGTAAGAGATAGGCCCAGACAATGGTAGTCTCGACCCCCATTGTGAGACCAGTTAGTCTTTATTGCCTGAAGTATTCCGGTAGTTTTACGGCACTTGAAAAATATTTCCTCATCAGAGTATCGTGGTTCTATATTATTATTCTCGTTTGCTGTCCAAAACGGAGAATAGATTGCGAACATGATTGTTTTATGTGTTGGAATTGAAGGTTGAGAAAATGGTGGATAGGAAAATGTTAGTGGGATTTTCCAGTTACAATATCCCTCTACGATACACTAAACGTTAGTGAGAACTTGCGATAAAGACGGGTTTTTTTTTAAAGAAATGTAATTGGATCAATGTTTTACTTATTCTGTACAATTTACTTTTTCTTAATATGGAACTGTTGTTATCGATTCAGTGGCTGGTGAATTATTGGCCTGAAGCCCATACTTAGAGAAAATAGTAGGCTGTCTATGTAGAGGATTCCACACTTTCAGCTCATCGTGTAAACAGCCATTTCTATTTCTAGAATTAACCTTTTGTGCATTCTCCGGTACCAACTGACGCTACGCCATTGAATGGCTAACAAAGTAAACACGATGCCTGGAGGGATGTTTACATTTGGAAATGGCAAAGTATTATAGATCTGAGGCATGCTTCATTCGTGGAATCAAAGCTTTAGGTTGCATATTTATTTTGTAAGATTTTTAAAGGCATTTTTCTTCCCTTTTGGTCTCACTTTATTTCCGCCCCTCGGTCTTAGGAAAACTATAATTTGTAAGCTTCACAACAGAGGTCGGGATGAAGAGTATGCGTGAGTGAGAGAGGGAGAGAGAGAGAGAGAGAGAGAGAGAGAGAGAGAGAGAGAGAGAGAGAGAGAGAGAGAGAGACAGAGACAGAGACAGAGAGAGACAGAGAGACAGAGAGAGAGAGAGAAAAGGGGACAGAGAGACAGAGAGAGACAGAGAGAAATGGGGGGGGGGGGGGGGGGGGAGAAGAGAGAGAGACAGAGAGAGGGGGGGAAGAGGAAGATGGGGTCAAGATCGGAAGGTTTCTATTTCTATCAGATTCTGTAAATGTAGGCGCCATGTTTGATGCTAGGCTATGCGTTCTGCAGATTTTTGTCAAGGTAAAAGATCCTTTCAAGTGCCAAGGTAAGTATCGGTAGGAACTCTGACGTACAGAATTCCGAGAGGGTTTGGGATCTCCTAACAGCGTTAGCGTTTCGGTGAGAAGAGAATGCCCCCAACCTTATGCCTTGCAAAAACGTTCTCCTTGTTTTCATACCCTGGTTGATTGGTTATTACGCAGACCCCCGAGTTGTTTTCTTACTGTATTAAGACTTCTGACGCCGACTCTGTTATTGTTTTCCTCTCAGGGTGATAAATCAAGAAACAGAAGAGAAAGCAGAATGGGAGGTTAGGGCATTGGCAGAATATCTCAGCTCCTGGAAATATGAGAATGTAAGCACTGACTCATCAATTCTATAAATTCTATATGATCACATAATAACTGCACTCGCGTATTTGTGTATGAAGAGCGGCACGCGTGTAGTAATTTTTACTTGTTAATGTCAAAACAACGTTTTCTGTCTCTCGGGTGTTAAATATTGAAGAGGCTGCGTTAATAATGATTTGACTTCCAAAACCAATAAAAGTGTCTAGCAAAAACATAGGGGGTTGTTTATTCGGATGTATCAACATTCTGTATTTTATATTTTAAAACTACGATTTTACTTTGGAAGCGGGGGGGGGGGGGGGGGAGAAGTTGAGTGTCGAAATAACATTGCCTTTAGTTTACGTTTTTTGGAAAACAATTTTTTTTTCTTTTAAAAATCACTTTTGAAAATGGTGGTGGAGTTAAGTCACAGTCGACTGTAACACTCATGAAGAGTGTCAAGCAATCAAACCGGCGCCACGCAACGACCAAAGAAATCAAAATTTACGAGATCGTCTCCGCTGGTAGGCGCCCTCTGTGTATTAACCCGTCCTCGTCACAGATCACTAGAAATCCGCCGATAAAGTCTTCCATCTCGTGAGCAGAGAGCCATGAAGTGCTCGTGTAAAACACATCAGAACCGTGAGGCGGAACCAGAAATAGTCGGGATGCGCCGAGTGACTCTGAAAAAGGGCGGCTTCCGCTGTCCCTCAGGAAATGTTGGTTCTTCAGAAGGCCGGGAGTGACGCAGGGTGATTGGAAAAGCCGGTGCGTCGGGGGATTGTGGGTGAGCGGGGGGAAGTAAGTACAGAGGTTTCTGTTGGAGGATGTTCTCCGCAATCAATATAGCAAATCGACGGGGTGCAGGATTAAAATGTAAGTGGAAAGGTTTTATAGTTCTCAGTGGGGAGTAAGAGGAGGACAGGCTCAAAGGTTAAGTTGTGAAGAAGTATTCGCCTGGTTCAATGTAATTGGTGTAAAACGTATGTCCATCACAACCGCCCCCCCAAAAAAAACCCAACAACAACAACAAACAAACAAACAAACAAACAAACCCGCCTACCATACTACCAACAATGAAGTCTTCAGTTACCCACACTCCTCTCAAATCCCTCATCCGCTATTTGCTCCTCCTTTTCCCTTTATTATCATACCTTCTTCCTTTTTTCTGACAGAGAAAAAGAAAAGAAAAAGAAAGACCCACTGCATACATATACCCAATCTCTTTGTAGTTTATTGAACCCCATTACTTACCCCATAACCTTACATCGATCGCCTACCGAAGGACAACTCTCTCTGACTCAAAGACAACTACTGACGAGGCTGATATCAGGATCAAAAGAGATCCCTATCTGCAGGGTCCCTATTTATTACTCTTGTTGGTTTTGAAGTCAGCAATTAGCGCTACTCGGCCCGTTTATGTCTGCACGATATAAAGGGCATATATTTCGGGGGAGTGTAACAGCCGTTTTGCATCATAACGTCGTCCCAGTGTTATATACATGACAATTTATTCATGGCAACAATGTCTTCTTCTCCGTCAACACGGGCAGTCTACTACAAAACAAACAGAAAGCGCTTCTGCATCTTATTTGAATGAATGCATGAATGAATGAATGAATGAATGAAAGAATGAATGAATGAATGAATGAATGAATGAATAAATGAATGAATGAATGAATGAATGAATGAATGAATGAATGAATGAATGAAGGAAGGAATGAAGGAATGAAGGAATGTTTACTGAGTAAATAGCTCTCTGTAAGAATGAATGAAAGAATGGATGAATGAAGAAAGGGTGGAATAAGCAAACTTAGAACTAACTAAATTGTTATTGAGTTCCAATTTTAAATTAGCTTTAATATAATTCATTCTTTAATAAAAGAATGCAGAAAAAAGCAGTTTTTCACATCAGCCAAAAAGTTAACTGCTTACGTATTCATAGAATTTCTCGCAAAATTTGGAAAACATCGAAATTTAGATCATGGTAAAAACGATACGTTTCCAGCATGCTGGGCGCTAACTGAGAAAAGTTGCTGGATCGATCAATGTCATTAAAAAGTACGCCTGGTCTTATCTTGGTTTTATGAGTTTATTAGCTTTTAGCGAGGGCGAGTGAGATATTGAGAGACTGTTACTAACAGCACACTCATAAGATTTGAGGCAATCCTGATCTTCAGTCTGCGGGGTGCAAAATAAACATGATGTATCCTTTTTTCTCTGGAAATTTTAAATTCGAAGAAAATTACCTAGGCATCTGAGGGGTGCCGTCACTTTGGGACTATGTTTTATGTGATACCACACGGTTCTGAGCGGTAATAACTATCCTCAGTGTGGTTCATGCAATAAAGTGGTTCAAAGAAAAAATAATAAATTTAAAGGTCTCTAATCTTTGGGATTTTTTATGGAAGTATGCCGTATTTTTAAAAGCAGCGTACATGAATACTCTCTTGGATGTGTTGAACTCACATGAATATTTCCAAGAGCGTACACGACACTTGATAAATCGTGCCATAACCTGTCACCTCCTGCTAGCTTGGGCTGTGTGCAACCTCATGAACCCTTGCCAAAGCTCCGAAACCCCATTGATTTTGCCATAGCTTTTAGAATGGATATTGTGAAAAATGGGCATGCTTCAAAAAGAAGGCAATGAAGTCATTGTTAGTCGACACTCACCTTTCATCTGGAAGAAGCTCATGTTCTGTATGGCATGGATAGCTGGCGTATTGTCCAGAGTTAGCTCAAATTCTGGAGAAACACGAGGTGCCAGTTCCATCTCTTTGTTGAAGTTGGCGTCAGCTGTGGCCACGCGACTCACTAAGCCAGATGAGAC